GTTTCGTTTCGTGTTCGGGTGTACATCAACAATCTTGAAGCTTGAACTCACCACAGTTTGGTGAGAATTGTAGCTGGTGAGTTTTGTAAGCATGATATCAGAGCAACCGTATCACAGCTTTTAATATCATCCGCTGTTGTCTGCTTGTTGATTTTTGTTTACGATACTCAAATGAGATTGTGCTCATTGGTGAGATTTTATCGTTTGATCTTTTCCCAACACTACTCTTGATAGACACATCAGTTTTTCACATTACATCATTTTTGTGATACGAAATTGATCACTTCGTAAAATAAGTAATTTCGCCGAACACAGTATTCGAATAATTCTAATCCGCTATGAAAACGGATTGTGGAGAAACAAACATTCCGTTTTACGGTAGTACATGAATCGTAGCGAAGCTTTGGAGTCTTTAAGGCAGTAATTTTTAAAACTTTTAGTTTCAGGGTAATTCCAGGCATTTAATATTTTACTGAAGAGATGTCACAACTAAATTGAATGGGGGGAAACTAATGTCACGACAATTTTCTCTATAACCATCTCTGATTCCAGGAACATCATCAGAAGAGTAGCGAGAATACCAGTAAAGATAAAAGAACGTCAAGGTGATCAACAATACCTGTAGAACCTTTAAAGAAAGGAAATTCCAAGGATTTTAAAGAAGTTTCATGAGCAGACTGCAGCATAGCAAGGGAACTTTTGTAACATTTTGAGCACTTCAGCTTTGAAAACTTCAGAGAACTTGAGGAAAATTGTGGCAAAAATAACTCAGGGAAGATAGGTCTAAAGATTATCATGGTAACTCAGAGTCACAATAACTTCATGGTCGTCATTCGATGTGATGATGTGTGATTCGATGAAATTAGGACAAAATCATGAACGTCTGTAAAACTTTGAGAAACTTTAGGAAGTTGTAAGAATTTCAGGTTGGTCCAGATAGCTCCTGACAATTTAAGAAAACTTTAGACATGTTTTATAAATTTCACAGAAGTCCATAGATTTTCAGGGATATATTTTTTAGGACAGTTCCATTTAAGGACTCCAAGAGAATTGCAAGAACTTCAGGATTACTTTGAAAACCTCAAGACAGTTCAATTAACTTTAAGAAAATTGCAGGAACTTTACAGAAGTTCCAAGAAACTCAGAGAATTTTTGAAAACTTCAGTAATGTTCCGACATTTCCAGGGAAGATCAGTAAACTTTAGAGAAGTTTGAAGATTATTAAGCTGGGATTCGTCCAGTATTTCAAGGAAGATCAGCAATCTTCAGAGTAGTTCCAATAAATAATTTCAGGGTTTTTAAAATAGTTCTGAAGAACTGTGGAATATTCCGAGAACTTCAGCAATATTCTGTTTTATTTTTAAATTCCCGACCAGGAGGAAATAACTTCTTACTACCAAATTCAGGGTTGAAAATATCAAAACTGCCCGAGCACGTGAAAATAACAAATGAATACCTAATTCTGACCAGATACATAAATTTGGTGTTGATTAGCATGGCATAAAAAGTGAAATACCAAAGAATAATACCAAAAAAATTGCACGCATAATACTTTGTAAATAACTAAAGTTGATATTTGGACACCAAAAATACCTGTGTGGTATTGATTTGGTATTGCATTTGCATAATTTGTTATTGGAATGGTATCGTGGGATTTTTTTTTGTATTTACCTATGATTTTGGTTTTCCAACTTCCAACATTTTTTGAGAAAAAGTGTTTTGAAGATTACAATGCCGATTATGAAGACATACATGGACTATTGACGATACTAAACTATAACGAATTGAACAAATGCAGTTAATTGAGGTTCAAAAGTTCACTGAATTATTCCAAATGGCATTAGAGAGTTCTCCTTGACTCTCAACTAAGATTCGTATTGATTATGTTGACTTTGCGCAAAATCAATTAATATTTATTGCTACCTTGATAAAGAAGATAGAAGGTATCCGAAATTTTTGTGTCCCGTACTAAGAAGGTGGCGAAGGTGAGATTTACAATCCTGATGGGTGCAAAATTTACTTATATTTAAAAAAAAAATAATAGAGATGTTTGACTCAACGGCGAGATCGAAAATAAAGTCTGGCAACCATGACGAATTTTTTGAGTTTAGGTAGTCTTCCCCTTGAATTACTACAGAATTGCTAGAGCTTCATTGCAGTTCCCATATTTTGTCTACGAAAACTTTCAGGAAGGTTCAACGACTTTCTATGGAACAGTAGTGAATTTAAGAAAAATTCTGCAAACTGTAAGGACGTTCCTTCAAAGAATCAGATAAAAATCAATAACTTTCAGAGAAGTTCAATGCTTCAGAGAAGTTCTATAAATTTCAAGAAAAATCTTCCAACCTCAGGGACGTTTTGTGAACTTCAGTGGAGTTCAATGTCGTCCTTAAGAGAGTTGTGTGAACTATAGCAACATTATATGAATTTCAATGATGTTCTGCAGAAAGTTCTTTAAACACCAGATTTTTTGCAAACTTTAGGATGGTCTGTAAGCCACAGGAAAAATGTAATAACATTAGGAAAGTACTGCGAACGTTAACAAATATCTGAGAATTCCAGGAAAACGAAGATACCAAATTCAGAGACGTTCTGCGAACTTCAAAGAAGTTCTAAGAACATTTGAAGAATTTCATCGAAGTTCAACGAAATCAAGGAAAAACTTATGAACAGGGATTGGTGGTGGAACAACTTTCACTCCATATCTTAGAAAACAGGTATGATAGAGAGAATTTATTGCGATATCTCTTTCTCATTTACGATTCCCTTATGCAATGTGATCAACGGCATGAGCAGGGTGAAAGGGCATAAAAATGAGAGTTCGCTATCTACAAAAATATCGACGGCAATCGAATGTGCAGGAAGGCAGCTTCCACACCTGCGTAGGATATCGCACCCATTCAAACACACATGGATCGGGACTAACGGCTTTACTAAGACGTGATCAGAGATTAGTATGCCTTAGAAAAATCCCACCGACCTCGGCTGGGATTGAACCCAGACCCATTGCTGATTTAATTCAATCCTGAGCTGTGTAAGTAATAAAAAAATATTTTCGAAAATTCTGCTATGTCATGTGTATCCTTTTGCAAACCTTTTTGCAATTAATGTCTGTCTTATCTTCTTTAATTGTGTCTTAATTGTCCTCACAATCTTCCGTAATAAGTTTATTTTTACCGAGCACCATTATCAAAATTTCATTCGAAACGAATTCGCATTCTCATCGCCCAAAATTACATTTTTGTAAAAAACTCATTAGGATAAACGCTCACTGAGGATCCACTTGCTGCCACTGCGGCAGCATAAAGAACATCATTCACTGCTGTTGATGCTCTCCCCTCAGGCGGTGTTTAATCATTTAATCCACTTTCAGGCTTCGCTTCACAAATGTGTGTATCTGGTGCTTGGTACATGAAAAAAAAAAAAATAACGATAGCAAACCTCCCACGATCCCACGAGCTTGGAGTTGGACTTGCACACCGCTCCTCGCCATTTACACAGCGAGATCTGCTCAAGCTCAATAAATCACTCGGCGGGAAATTAAACAAAGCCCAGGCCGGGCCTGTTTGGGGAAAATGATGCGCTCCAATGTAATCTCACACGAGCTTAAGGAAAATCTTTCCATTTTATTCCGGCATATGTGTGTATGCATGTTTGGGCTGCTGTTTTGCATAATATACACTCTCTTCCTGGCATACGTGGCCACTTGGAAGCGCTCCTAGTCACAGGAGAACCTAGAAGAGAACATGAATGAAAGTGGAAAATTTTAATGCCAAAGCTTGTTTTTCCGGAAACTGCAAAATGCTAATGCCTTGGTTCTTTCTTTTTCTCAACGTTGCCATTGCTTTTCAGAATTCGGTTGGTGGTGGGGGGGGGGGAGGAGGAAGCCAAAGTACATGTATCACTCGTTTTTGGCTTCCTTCAATTTGATTTGAGAGGGGGAGGGGGAGAGTGGGGAAGAAAGTAGAACACAGTGATGGCTTCAAACGAGCGAGAGTGAAACTCTTGTATTTAACGAAACGATCTTTCACTTTTCCCATCAACAACAACAGCTGGAAACAATTCAGACTATGTTCATCTTAGTATGTGTGTGGCGCATTCTTGGGTTGCCAAAGGAAAGCATAGAGATCAGGAGATGCAATAAAAGGCTTATTTTATTTAAATTTCTTCTTTCTTGGCTGTGATTTTCTTGGGGTGTGGAAGAGTCTTTTACTTGCTCGAATGGAATGGGTGGTTAGATTTTGGTTGCAGCTATAGTAACATCCATTGTGGGTGTTTGAAAGCCGAGGGACTGTTTATCGACAATGAAACAATAAAGTTTTTGTATGAAGTTTTAATTGATATTGATAAGCAATATTCAAAATCGTACAATAGAAGGTTTCGAAACCTCTTATCCATTACTGCAGAAGTAATAAAAAAAAAAACCGTGCAAAAACAAAAAAATATAAACATTAAGTTGTGGATGCGAACGCCCCTCGTTTCGAGCAGCATCAACTGGGAAATAGCATCCTTAATATTTAATACTTTCTCCATAACCATTTTCTAAGAATCCAAACAAGATTCAATTTGGTATTCAAAGTCTGGTTCCGTTTCCCTCATCGTCCAGATCCCTCCATTTACATGGCCAACTCTGACCGTCACGACTGTCTGGATTGTTTTCACTCATGGCTAGCTGCGAATGAATATTTCATGCGAAATTCTCCAACAAGAACAACACCCACCAACACAAAGCGGCCAAGTATTTTGCTGTTTTGCTCGCACGTTCGAGTCCCTGCCGTCCTCGTGGTCTGACCTGATGTTTACTCTGTTCCAAGTCGACGTAATTTGAATTTTGCCAGTTGAGATGATCAAGCCCGGTTTCCAACAATAAATCCACCACCGATAGACACCTGCCGTGTGCATTATTCAAAAGATTCAAATATTGGGATCACTATAAATCTAAACGCTCTCAATTATTTATTATTCAACCATTTTCTTCCGTTTGTGTTTTTCCCCAACAGGTGCACTTCAAATGCAGTGGCAGCAACAAACCCCCACCCTCAGTCGAGGAATCGCACGTTGATCCGCACACGGGAGTTCACTTCCAGGAAGTGACCGCAACCATCTCGCGGGACCTCGTGTACGAGTACTTTGGAAAGCCTCCGTTCAAGTGCGAATGCCACGCGTGGTCACCCCGGGGGAAGACCATCAGCCAACCGGCTTCCATTGTCGTTGCCTGTGAGTATTAAGCTTCCTTTGCTTTGGGAAATTTGAGCGGGTCACAAATCATCTTCGTGCTTATTCGACGAGCCGGGTGAAAATCGTCGCACAGGGAGTAAAAGTTTGCCCTCACGAGAATTTAAATTTGTCGATTTGTGCTATCTGAACGAGGGGCTGGGGGACGATTCAAGGCGCCGCGTCGTGTGCCAAGTAATGGGAGTTTGGGACCAAACTTTCAAACCATGTTTTAGAAATTTATACCCGAAAGGTGACGACGACGACGGCACGCGGGGGACGACGAGTGTGACCGAAGAAAAGAAAACTTTTGGTCTCGACTCGTTCTGCCCGAGTACCTAAACGCACATACACACACACCCCCACCTTCACACGAAGCGGAGCGGAATGGAGACCAAGTTTTGCAATTGAATTATGATTAGTTGTCCAAACAGTTTCATTGTGCTCGATGATTTTGCTTGTTGTCGTCGTTGAAGATGCTGATGCTGATGCTGATGATGATGATGATGATGGTTTGATCTTTGGTGCAAGATTGTTGACGCAGATTGGAGATGGATCGTGACTCTGAATTGGACCTTAATTGTTGTGGCGGAATGGAATTATAAACTTTTTCCTTTGAGTGGGAGCAGATGGTGCATTTCTGGAAATTTTGGAGGACGCAGACGGTCATCGTCGATGACATTGAAGGAATTCAAAGTGTGAAATTTTTTTCGTTAATTAATTCGTGAAGTTTACGATTTTCAGAGTTGGTTGGAAATGCTATGGACAGAATCATCGGACCAGCTTGCCAACTCCCTAATACCAGTTCTGACGATGCTGATAAAAAAAACACTTTTAACCGATCACTTGCAACTTCTTTGCACTAAAGTTCTTTTCTATAGCTGTATGTTATAGGAATTAGGGTGGTTCAAAATATCGGTTCTGATCCACCAAGCTCAATCGGTTCTAACTTTTGACGAACAATTCAAAATGTCCTATGTGCTTTGATCGATCCTCTTCATCGACTTTCTTTTGCGTTAATAACTCAGCTCAAAAACCATTATTTGTTGAATTTGATGCTAGCTGAGAATCTTCTTAATCAAACTATGTTGCAGAAAAAGCGTGAAGTCTGTTTGTATAGCCGTAGTTATCAAAAGAAAAAATCGATTAAGAGCATCGATCAAAGCAGATAGAAATGTTTATCGAGAAATCTGGTTCAGTTAATTTTCTCAAAATTTTATTTCACTTGAATGACATCTCATACTGCACCGGCTCTTCAAAGTTAAGACTGTACTCGAAAAAAGTGAGACACATTGATTATTTTGTAACTTTTTAGCGTGTGGAAATTTTGACTTAAACTAGCTAAGAGTGTGTTGTTTACGCTGGCAGAATTCAATCACAATCTGTCAAGTGGCTATCGAGATGGCCTCGGAGCAAGAGCAGATACGCCAAAAAAATCTTGTGCGCCGTCATGGAAAATACGACTGCGTCCCACAGATGGATCGGGACTCATACGATCAAGCGGTGGGCAAGCTGCGGCAGAAAACCGAAAAGAGCTGACCCGGTGAAGGCCAGGAAGGTGTTGAGTCTGTTCAAGCGGCAAAGAAGGTGGATGTTTCCATCTGGTTTGTCCAAAAACGATGGAACGTACCGGCATCTACGTCTGCAAGGTCCGAAAGGCACCAAACAAACAAAACGTGCTGACCAAAACCCACGCCAGAAAGCTGTACCGGGAGTGGCTGTAGAAACCGAGATGCGTCATGATGGACGACGAGACTTACATCAAGACGGACACACAGCAGTTGCCGGGGCAGAAGTTTTACGTTGCCACATCATAGTTGGCCGTTCTTGAGGAGGTAAGCAAGAAGAAGGTGTACAAATTCACAAAAAAGTTCTTGGCCATCTGCAATCTGTGAGTGCGGCAAGATGAGCCAGCCTTACATCACGACGGGTACCATCAACGGACATCAACGGGCAACGGGCGGTCCTAAGGAGGCGAGATGCTGTTTAGCCACTACGCGCGGCCGGTGTGAGACTGGTACAGAGACCAATGTTGTTTTTGTACCAAAAGACGTCAACCCACCGATCTCGCCGGAACTTTGCCCGATTGAGAAGTTTTGGGCCATCATGAAGGCCAAACTTCGTAAAACACCAAAGGTGTTCGAGAACGAGCTGGCGTTGAAGAAACAGTGACTAAAAGTATCAAAAGAATTTGGCCCCACCCCAAAACCTTATGAGTGGTGTCAAGGGCAAGGTGCGGGCATTCGGTTTTGGAGCGAACTCGCACCAACTCGCAGTGACGCACCAACACTACTTGACGATCATGATCAATGTTTCAAATTTGACTATTCGGCATGTGACTTTGACTTGTTGAACTGTATTTTTATGGATATTGAGTGGGAACGATTATGGAATAATGTTACGGTAGATCATATACTATCAACTTTTTACCAATCTCTCTCGGAAGTTATCAATCGTCAGACAAAAATCGGTATCTGTTTTCAACCAACCGTGGTGGACTCCTGAGCTACGTAACCGTCGTAACAATGTACATAAGATGCGCAACCGATATTTCCTTACAAAAATTGGCTCCGACAAAGCTAGACTCCGTGAGCTTGAGTTGGAGTACAAAGTCATTATTTCTGCAACACATGAAAACTATTTGCTCACCATTCAGTCAACCGTCAAGCATAATCTTTCACGCTTCTGGGACTTCATCACTAAATGGAAAGCTGGAAACGGACTCCTGGCTCGGTCAACTTCGATGGAACAAATTCACGTTCAAGATCAGAAGCAGCCAATCTCTTTGCAACTTTCTTCGAGAGCGTGTTTAATAAAGCATCGCCCGTACAACATCAAAACTGTTTTGAGCAGATACCGTCCCATAAACCTACCGTGTATACAATGAGCTTGATTCAACGAAAGGAACCGGAACAGACAGCTTGTCTCCAGTGTATTTTAAGAACTGCGCCGCTACGCTGGCGACGTCTATCGCTGCTGTTTTCAACCGTTCGCTCCAAGACAGAACGGTCCAAAGTACCGATCCATAAATCCGGAAGCTACAAGTGTGTCACCAATTATCGAGGTGTATCCATACTCTGTAGTTTCAGTAAGGTATTTCAGAAACTGATCCACACAGTTTTGTACTGAGCTGCTGCACCGATCATCTCCAACAGTCAGCACGGCTTTATGAAGCATCGTTCAACAACATCGAACTTAAGGGGAAGCTCACCGGCCCAAAAATAAAAAAAATATTTTCGGTACGTTTTATTTTTCTAAAAATATTGATAAAAATTATCAAAGATCCAAGAAAATCAGTTTCTTCCTTAGATTTTTGTCAAAAATTACATGCAAAAAAAATTTCTATCCCATCATGAAAAAAAAATTGGACTCTCAGAAAAACCGAAAAGTTGATGTTTTGTGGTTTTCTGAGTCCAACTTTATGCCATAATGACTTATAAAACATGTTTTTGCACGTGAATTTTCTTTGAAAAATTAGAAAAAATGTGATTTTTTTTAGATTTCTGATACTTTTTTTTCAATATTTTTAGAAAAATCAAAACGTAATTATTTTTTTCGAAGCGGTGAACTTCCCCTTAATGTGTTATGTATCAGCGATATCACGTAACTTAGAATCGAAGCAACAAGTGGATTCGGTTTATGTTGATTTCGCGAAAGCTTTTGACACAGTACCGCACAATCTCAGCGCTGACAAAATGAACCACATTGGATTTCCGGTATGGATCACTGAATGGCTCTATTCATACCTGTCTAATCGCAATGCTTTCGTGATGGTGAATTCCGTGCGCTCCTGGACAACATACCATCTGGCGTACCACAAGGCAGTGTTCTCGGTCCTCTTATTTTTATCATTTACTAGCTGAGTGTGCCCGGTCTTGCTCGGGATTCAATACTAGCTTGAATTTATGCGCCGATTTAAAAAAAAGCATGCTATATTGTACGTAGCTACCCCCCCCCCCTCCCTATTATATAAGGGGCTACCCCCTATGATTATCTCCTTATACCCCCACACTCGCCCCACATGCCTAATTTGGTTCCATTTGCTTGGTTAGTTCTCGAGTTATGCAGAAATTTCTGTTTTATTTGTATGGGAGCCCCCCCCTTACAGAAGGGGGAGGGGTCTCGAACCATCATAAGAACCTTCCATGGCCCCAAAAACCACTGTATACAAATTTTCACGCCAATCGGTTCAGTAGTTTCCGAGTCTATAAGGGTCAGACAGACAGACAGACAGACAGACAGAAATTCATTTTTATATAGATAGAATAGATAGATGTTAATGACCAGTGTGACATGCTCTCATCATCCAAACTTCCGATGATCTAAAAAGTTTCCGTGCGATTACTTGTCCCACTGACTGTGTCGCAGTGCAAGAAGATATACATCGTGTGATAGTCTGGTGCAGTGACAACGGCACCTTCACTCGCTGCAACAACGTTATTCACCATCAATATTACATGGGGCCGGATACTCTAGAACGTGCAAATTCCATCTGTGATCTAGGTATTACGATCGATTCGAAGCTTAGGTTTAACGAACACTTAAACATTGTAACTGCTGAAGCATATACTGTTCTTGGTTTTATTCGTCGTTATGCTTCTGGCTTCACCGATGTTTATTGTCTCAAGGCGCTATTCTGCCCGCTGGTTCGCAGCATTTTAGAATATCCCTACTAACATTTTCAGCTTTATAAGCTAACTTTTCCTGCGTTGTGCTGTAAGGTAGCTGAAATAAAGCTGCAGATACAGCTACAAGCAGAAGCTAGCAACATAGTTTTGGAGAGCATTTACTCAACTTTTCCACAACCATTATTCAATTTGTCAGTCGCACTGAATAAAATCACCCAATTAACGCTAATGTCGCTTCTATGCAAATAATAATCAACTTTCAACGGTTAGTTTCAAACAAAGCTAATAAAGCGAATATATTACTTATTTGATGGCTTCTACACAACCAATCACTCTTGCTGAATAACATAAACAACAAAAGTGCTTTTTCAACAA